TTCATCCGTGAGTTGTTCGGGTTGGATGCCCAAAAGACCAGGTTTATCGCCGTACCAGTGACCTGCATTTGAAAAAAAAAAAAAAAGTTTTGGTTTCGTGAAATTGACTGTCCAAAATGCCGAGTATATGAATCACTTATCACTTGGTACCTTGAAGAAGATGAGCAATCGTGTAGTAACTCATGTAGATCGTTGAATCGCTCAGGGATTCGACGAGGTACTGTTGATCCCACGGCAGGCGCGTACCGAGACCAAAACTACGTGCACAAGCCCACTGATGCAACCAACCCAGAGTCCCCTCGAACGCATGCCGAGTCTCACTTGAGTAAGTCTCCATCTTTTCGAGAAGTCTATCCAAAAGGGACGAGAAGAATGAGAAGAAGAATCATTCCCCAGAAAACCCGAACACGAACTCACTTTTGAGTTTCCTCCTTCCATTCACGCTCGCCATAATCCAAATACCACTGATCCTCCATGCTCACCACACACTCTTCCCCACTCCGACTAACGATCAACCCCTCAGGCTCCGCATACGCAAACGCAAGTCCCGCCTCGATCATCTGTTTCCGAACCTTGGGTTTCGCCTCCTGTACCGCCTCACCCTTGAAATCTCCAACGATCATCGTGCCACTATAAAATCCCTCCTTATAAACAATCTCTTTGGCTTCACCGAGTTGTTTCGCATCCTTTTGAGATTGGATCTTGAGTTGGGCGACGACGGCGGGTGCAGAGAGGTTACCATAAGTCGGAGTGGAGATGACAGGAATAGGGTCTATGGAGCACCACGATGCGTCGATACCATAATAGGTAGGCTTCTTCCGTAGATCGGTGAGAGTCTGGAAGTCATCGGGGGAGTCTGACGGAACGGAGGTGACAACTCCTGTTCCCTAATATAGAGTTAGGGGAAAAAAGAGAGAACCAATTAGCGGCGCGGCTTCCCCTTTTCATGACCCCCCCCCTCCCCACTCATAATGAAAAAAATGACGTGGGACCGAAAAAACAAAAACAAAAACAAAGAACATGTGATTTTTGTTCAGACTTACTTTCGTACTGAGAACGGAGTCCATAGGAAGGACATAGACTTCAGGGACGATTCCGAATGGCGCCTTGATCTTGGTCCCAACCAGCACCTTCCCCTCGACCTCGCCCACTTGGTCGATCACACCCCGCGTCTCAAACACACCCTGATAAGCCATATTCCGAGCCGCTCGATGAGTGCAAACGTAGAGAACCCCATCATTCTTCGACGTGGCGAATAGCCCGTATTTGAGAGATGGACCGACGAAGCAATTGGTTTGGCCGTACCTATTCAGATCATATGTTTGGTGTGTGTGTATGGGGGGAAGCGGGTGAAAAGGGAGTTTGGAAAGAAAGTCACCGCCCAGGGTTGGGTTAGCATTCACCGAAAAAAAAAAGAATGCTGATGGGAGGAAGTCACAACGTACATCGTTTCGGGTCTCAGAGTGGCAGCAACCAAATACACCTTCCTCCCTTTCACGACCTCACCCAGTATTTTCAACGCATTCTCACTAAACTGGACGACTTGCATCTTGAGAGCAGTATATTCCTGCGGACCAAGAGCTTCACCAGCAGATCGATCGTGATCCATACAAGGTTGTTGATCTTTAGGTGAATAAACAGTATACCGTTCTCCAAATTTGATCCTGTTTTGAGAACGGAGTTTATTGATTTGCCAGCGTACGAACGAGTCAAAGTATGGGTTGACCGAGGTCGTGATGAAGGATCGACGCCAATCGATACGTGCGCCAAAGTTTGTAAGATCGTTCTGAAAATCGAGCGTAAAAGGCATGCCCATAATTTTTTGTTTTTAACAAGGATCACGCGAGAGAGAGAGAAGGGGGGGGAACAACTTACGATGGTGATAGGAGGGAAGTAACCAAGCCAATGAACAGGATCAGCAAACTTTTTTATTTCCTCCCGAGGAACGCTCATGCTCAGCATGATTTGGAATTGATACTTGAGTCCAGTAGACTTTGCGTTCACCTTTCCTTTCGTAGCCTTGCCGACTTGACCAGACTTTTCCTTTTCAGTTGTTGAAGATTCCTCCACCTCCTCTTCTTCCTTGTATCCGAGGAAATCAGGTCCAAACAACTCCATTTCGCGGGCAAGTTTGTCAGCTGCTGCCTAACAAGGTATATTGTGATAGGAACGATTCTCGACGAAGGAGGGGGGGGGGGTTGTCAACACACCTTGATCGGCATACCGGTACAATGAAATGCAGCAGGGAACAAAGCCCTCTTCCCGAGCATCCTCTGATACCCAGTCGCAAACTCTACTTTACTAATCGTAAAACCGTGTCCAAGATGTAGGCTCCCATTCATATACGGAAATGGGAACGTGCCAAGCCACTTGGGATATTTCTCTCTTAGTTGAGCGGGGGTAAGATGAGCATCCTCGGGCAAGAAATTGGGTGCTGCTGCTGTTATTTGTGTAGTTGTTGTAGGGGTATCGGATGACTCGAATGGCGCGTCTATTTCGAAGAGTTTTTCGGAGGCCCATCGTGCTTGGGCTTTCTTTTCGAGTCCGACGAGGAAGTCGCGCTTCCCTGTCTGTTGGATCGGGAAAGAGTATGGATGCGTGAGCATTGAATATTTGGATGGATCGGCACGGTTGTGGTAAAATCGAAGTTGCACGGGCAACAGGCATCAGCAATGTACGATCATTCATGAGAAATTTGAAGATACGAGCCTTTTGAAGCTCGATTGGGCCATCGGTAGCTGTATTTGCCATGGTTCTTCGTGTACGATTGCTTCGATTGATGTTTGACGAAAATGGAACAGCACGCGAAAAGGGAAACGTGACACTTGTGCAAAGTTTGGCACCGCGAGTTTGCTTCGGTAGAGCTAATGTTACACTCCACTGGCAAATGTGCCTGGAGAAAGTTATGGTTGAGTTTGGCGAAGGAATGACTGGGAGATCTCCTGTCTAAGGCGGCAGCTCTAATATTACGCCAAGAGTCTCACAGCTAGAGAGTCAACAAAAATTTCCCAGGATGAGGATGAATCACGTGCGGGAGTGGCTATACATACGTAACCTAATTGAGTCAAACCTTTTTGACACCCAAGGAAAATGGATGTCCCACATTGAACTCGAACTTTCCATAAAAGTTTCCTCTGACAGCCACAAGAGTCCTGAACACCCTGTTGCTTTGAGCGCTCTCTCTTCAGTCCTGTCGCCGCTAAACCCCAGACGAACAAAAAAAAAATACAGAATGAGTATGAAAATGCCGAAATGAATCGGTGGTGTTGTGGGCGTGATTGCACGGGATAAGCAATAGTTTATCCCTTTGATATCGACCCTGGATTTATCTCACACAGAGTTTTGCTTGCTCCAAAAGATCTCCTATATGCATGGGCTTACTAGAGAGTCTCGATACGAATGTGGGTGGGGTCACTTCTTCTGCTGCTGCAAACACTACTAGTGCTAGTGCGAACATGATCACTACACTTGTGCTATATGCTTAGCCCTTTAATACCCTGTGGATGTTCTCGGCCATTGACTTGTTGACTTTCCGCGCCCGTGCATTGGACGGCGGATCGAGACGGGCGATCGACTCACAGAACAAGTCATCCGCACATCGTACGAGGTTTCCTGGTGAATGAGTAGGTAATTTATGATGTACTATTTTGGTTCAGCCAGGCCCAGGATGTGCTGGGCGCGATTATTAGTGGTTTACTGACGGCGGCAAAGGTCCCGCCTCCTCAGGCGAACACTAGACCTATGCACGATGAATGAACTTCGGCTGCTTAATAGCACAATCGTTCTGTTACCGCTTATAGCTTCGCTTTGCTTTCATCACGGTTGTCTTGGTTATCAGCTTCGTTGCTACCTCGGTCGTTATCTTGTTTGAACCATGGGACTCGCAGGCTTTGAAACGGGCTTGTTTGATTGCAACTTCCTGGTTTTGAATTGTGGCTCAGGTGAAGAAGAGATGGCTTCAGTCTTCCAGCGTTGAATGATTTAAGAAAGTTGGAAGAGATGAACATTCACGAAATAAAGTGAGTCTCCCTCCCCCTTCTCTTGCGTCGGCCGATGGGTGGCATGACCTTTTCAGATTGGACTTGTACCGACGGACAAACGTTTTTTCCCGTTTCTTCGCCGTTTGAAGAGTGAGGGAGAGGGAGAAGGAGGGATGCTGGGAGGGAGGGTCGAAAGAAACAGGCCGCCTCCTTCCTTTAAGTCCTTTCGCGGTACCTGCTAAGAAGTGATGATATCTTTAGTTCCATCATTATTTCAGCGGTGTATCCATGCATCAAGTCAAGATAGACAACGCATCCCTCACTCGTCGTACACCTTGGCTACGCCCGAATTGAAGCGTCATATCTCATGGAACATTTCTTTCATGGCCCAAGACATTAATTTGGTATCACCTTGGCCATGAGTGACAGGTGCTGGACTTGATCAAAGTCGACAGCATCTTTCCCTCCCGCCACCTAATGGATGTGTCCTGACCTGAAGAGATGCTCCACACACTTGTCACAGTTAACCCTGAGCTTCCTTGGTGGTTTTAAGTATATATGTGTGTGTATGTGTTTTTTTTTTTGGTTGGCAGACAAGAATTTTACCTGTCTATGTTGCTGATGCGACTCCTTCTGGAAACGCTCGCGCGACTTTTTTCACGAACGGGGTTTAATTCCGGAGCTACTGCTACTTAAGCCTTTTACAGCACTTTTAAGCGACTTTGAAGCACACAGTACTAGTGCTTCTCTTTAATAAAGGGGAAACAAGCGTTTTAGCTGAGACCATGCATACTACCGTCTTCCATTTCTTGCTCCAACCTTCATCAGACTTCATTTCTCATTCTTGTTCTATTCTATTCTATTCTACCATCCCCTTCACCATCCATACTAACTATCCTCGATCTAATTTCAATATGAGCCGTTTTAAGTCTCCATCCTAGAGACCCTCAATCATCTACTCGCCTCCTCAAAGCCTCTCCACATCTTCATCTTTCTCCCCCTTCCACCACAGCCTTCGTTATGGATACCTCCCGTTCCTCAGAACACGCTCCTTGCCTCCCATCCCATCCTGAACGATGGAGAAACATCTTGCATCCAGACGCCGCACACGACTTACATAATTCCCACCGCGCTATCATCGCACATGTTCCCGCCACCCCAGACGGTCGGGTCACTTCCAATACCACCCTCAAGCAAAAGGAGGCCATTATTTCCGTAAACGGGTCTTCTTCTGGTGGCGAGCGAACGTACTTCTCCATATACGATCCTGATGGGACTCGACCACATCCCCGACCTAAAAGATATGGTTGTCCTCAGTGTACGAAGATGTTCGATAGGCCTAGCGCTAGGGATTTGCATATCCTAGTGCACACTGGCGAAAAACGTAAGTGGAATGTTTTGCTCTACGAGCCGTCAGGACCGTTTGTGACTGAGTAATTTTCCCTTAGCCCATGAGTGTTCTCTGTGTGAGAGGAGGTTTTCGACTGTCAGTAACCGGAACAGGCATATGCGTAATTGTAACGGAATGTGCGACCCGCCACCTCCCAATGATCCGAATCTTTTCACAACCAAAGTGCCCCATAACTACATGGTGGACGAGTTGTCGAACGAAATCAGTTCGCCAGAAACATCTTCTGCTGCAACAACGCCCTCTGTTACTGCCAGCGAATCACCCACCCAATACTCTCCCGATCATCTCCCTCGCCACCACCAGCACCCTTATCACACTCCACCGACGACAATGACGACAAACGCTAATACGGAAAATACTAGCACTTTCCATCATGATGTGTCGCAATCATTTTCTCCATTCGGCAGTGCCGAAGAGATGATCGCAGTTGCGGAAAAGGCGAGGCCCGTTTATATCGGCGGCATCATCAACAACAGCCGCGCCGGACGACACGGTCCTCACGATCTGTCACAACTTGTTTATCCGTGTCCCTTATCCCGCGATGAAGTAATTCTTGAGCCGAATTCGGGTTTGGGTTATGTACATCCTTTGACGACGCCGGTGCATGCAGCAGCGGTAGCAGCAGCAACAGCAGCAGCAGCAGCAGTTGCAGGCCAACCGTTGGCCGTGCATCAGAGTCATCAACCACCCGTTACTTATTCGAATAAACTCGTGAACCAGCCGGTCCATCTAGTTTCAATCGGCTCGATCCCCGTCTCTTCGATTCATCCTCTGACAAATCTATCGCCATCTACGTCAGTCTCTACATCTTCATCTACATCTCCACCCCTATCTACACACAACCTCGATCGTCCCGCAACGCCGCCACAGTCGGTGTCTGACCATTCTTATAGCCCGTATGCTTCGTATATTGCATCATATCATTCTGCTCAATCTTTGCAATCGCAATCGTCACAAGTCGTCGTTCCGGGGAATGCGAACAATTCGTTCCTCGCCCCTTCAGCGACCACTCCTCATCATCATCATCATCACCTAATCTCAACGTCTCACCCCGACCTTCCAGGTTATAATGTCGATAATAACAGCAACACCAGAGAGACTGCGTCCAAGAATAACCACCAGCATTATCATCATGGTCAGCAACAGCAGCAACATACAACTTATGCCCGTTCCCTCACGCATGCTCCAGAACTCCCAATCCTCACTAGGCACCGTTCTACCGAGTCATATCCTATCGTCCAACTCACGCCAGAAGCAGTCCAATTTCTGGCCTCGACGGAACTGCCTTTGTCTGTCGCTTTAAGCTATGTGAGTGGGCAACAACATGCACATCACGTCAGTGAGAAATTTCATCGGAGTAGCGCGGGAAGTGGCCTCAGAGCGTATTGATCATTATCGTGGCGGAGATCGATGATTATCAGTCATCCATCCTTTTCGTCTTTTAGCTAAAAATTTCCTGTCAAAACTCTCTTGACCTACTTACCTACTGCGACATAGTAAATAATACAGCGTTTTTAATAATACTTTTCATGTATTTGGTTTTTCCCCAAAGCGTTCTTTCCTCCCGTGCTCTCGTACGGGTGCATATGTGATGCTTTTCATAGATACTTTTTGGTTGTCACAACCTCACAGTGTTGGTGATCATAACACTCAAATTTGTTCGTTCCTCGCTCGCGTAGCAGGTGATGGCTGTACCAGTATGATACTGTGGGCAGTGCTTGTTCATTGCTTTAAGTGTCCGATGCAGGACTGGACATTAGAACTAATACTGTACTTGAATTGCGATTGATGGGTAGTCCATGCAATATGTGCAAGGTCCTTGGATTCAGTGTAGGCGCAGGTGCACTGGACAATGCGGGGGTCTTCACAAGCCACCCGCGCATCGTTTACTGTGTGCACGATGGACAATTAGACTGAATTTGATAGCAGAGGTGCGCTGCCCGCCTGCACGAATGTGTGGTACATTGCATGCAATACAGGGTGGTCCGCGACATCTTGCGTGCCTATCTGATGAGACTGTGCGGAGACAGCAGTGCACTAGCACAGCCTATTTCCAACCTTGGCTATGGGCCAGTTTGCCCAGTCCCTTTTCGGCAGGTCTTGTTGAATGCGATCAAGGGAGCCGAGATTGAGCTTTTGATTGACCAAGTTTCTTTTCGGGCGTATTTCGCGACTGTACAAGTGCTTCTCCCAACCTAATGTGTACCTGGAGCACCGTATTGTCGAAGAAGGCTCGAACATCGATAACTCGATGGTCGATGTGTAATTAGGATGTGTAACGCCCTCCCATCTATGCTGGCATCGCCCTCGGGGAGCTGTCAGGCAGCACACACGTGGTGATTACCAACACATACAGCGCCTTTTGATCATCTTGGGAAGTCACAAAAGCTGGCGTAGAATTGAATTCTTGATGGCACGCTCCGCGCCTGTGACATGCCTAGATTGGAATAACATCCGGCTATGTCCGAGCCTCATAACGCAGCCTCCCATCCATAAGCTGCCGCGTTCGTAAGAACGTCGTAGGACCGGGTGCATCGTGGTTCCAGGGATGAAAAAGCTCTTCAGGAGTCACAAGCCCAAAACATCCCCCACGCCAGTCCCACGAAATCCCTCAGCTGAGACGCCCATCCATGCTCAGTTTGCGAAAACGCCTGCGCCGGCGTCTCCTCGATCTTCCGACATGACAACGAATGATGACAGTTGGGTGGAGGCAACCGAGCCATTTGAACAGCAGCAATCCCACCTAGCCACGTTGGATGCACATGTTGACTCAAAACCTTTGTCCGGCGTGTCTGAACCTCCGATATCATTGCCAAGTGGACAGCCTCATCCTCAGCTCAGTTCTCCCATATCGCCCGTCTCATATTCCCCTGCATTCCATCACTCCAATACACATTCTTCTGCTCTACAATCTCAGCAATTTCGACCTTCTTCCCCTACTAAAACCCCACAGCCCCAAGTGTTACGAAAAAGACCTACTATCAGCACCGTTCAGTCCTTTCCTTGGACTGATTCCCGAACTCCTCCAGATCAACAACTATCCAACGGGGCGAATAACAAGGAAGATAAATCCAGTACGTCTATCGAAACAAATAAAGAGAGTCCCCCAATGATATCTACGACAATCGGAAGTGTTGGCGGGGGTAAAGGTGCTGACAAGGAACCGAAAGAATCGACACTAGATGCCCTTGGTAACTTTCTCTTTAAGTCTAAGGACCGTCATCATGACCATGATCGAGACCGTCGTTCTGTGCACAAGGAGTCTAAGCAGCTCGACCCACCATGGGATCTTACCGCTGCAATAGGTACGCTTCACGACTTCCTCAAGGGGCGGTAAAGCCTTCTGACTTGCGCTTGATTTAACCCTTTCCAATATCGATACTTACAGGTCAGATCACCGCCACCGGGTCGGAAGATTGGGGCTTCGTCTTGGAGCTGTGCGAACGCGTTTCGGTGAATGAAACGACCGCTAAAGAGGCTGCTCGCGCGTTACGAAGGGAGTTCAAGTATGCTATCCCTGCTTCTCAGTTGAGCGCCGCTCGATTGTGGGCCATCATGCTTCGAAACGCGAAACCTGTGTTCGTCGAAGCCAGCGCTTCGAAGAAGAACATGGATGCGGTTGAGGATGTCATCACTAGCTCTAAGACAGCACCTGTTGTGAAGGAACGATTGTTAGAGGTCCTCGGCTATGCTGCATATGATCATGGGAGAGGGGATAGAAAACATCCGTTCGTGGCTACTTGGAGGAAGGTGAAACCACCAGAGGCTCCAGACCAGGTTGGTTCTTCTTTTCATTGGTTATGGGTCGTCATGGCGAGACGTGGCTGGCTGGATGTCCTCCGTCTGCCTGTCTGACCGACTGATGTCTCGATGGATTAGGGCATTCCTCCTAATCTTGACGATCCCATGTTCAGGCCCCCCGAGGCGAAATGGCCACCTCATTCCGACCAACACCCCTCCGTTCACCAACACCATGGTAATCGTCCAGCAGATGCTCTACGGACTCTTAGACGTTCAACGGGACATATCGATTTCGAACATGAACGCTCTCAGTTACGGTCACCCACTGTCAGACTTCCGACACTCGAAGAAGAGATGGCAAGGGTCTATAAAGAGTGCGAGGAAGCTCAGAATCTGGCGACTATGTTTCATGAGCAGCTTGTGTACGCTACCGCGGCAAGTGTTGAGGACCAGGACGGGGATATACTCAGGGTATTATTATTATTATCATTTTAAGGAGAGGACTCATGAGTTCCATTCTGGCGTCAGGGATTCTACGAACGGGCAACGAAGTCGAGAGATCGAGCACAGTCACAGGTTCCATGGGCTCAATCACTTGCTAATAAGGCTACTGCCGCAAGGAAGGAGCAGAGACTTGCAAACGCCAACCATGTCACCACTAATGACACTCAGCATATGAGACAGACTCCGTCAGGGGGTGTTGAGGAGCACCTACTCGGCACTCTATTGGCGACACATCAAAGTATGGTGGAAGTTTGCAAAATATACGAAGATTTGCTGAGGGTTGCTGCTGCTGAGCGCGAGGAGAGATATGTCCAGGAACGAAGTAGAGTCGAGATTAGAATTGACCGATCTGTACGTGAAGGGCTTCATTTGCTTAGGTAACAACAGGCGACCAACTGGCTTGCTCTTGTTTGGACAGAATGTGTTTGTTGCGCCAGATGGTTCACTATATGCTCCGGAACGAGATGTTGGCGGCGGCAGCTCGTCCCGCCCCGCTTCACCGAACACCCTTAACATTATCGAATCATCCCCTCCCACCAGCCCTCCATCCGTTCCACCAACAATCCAACCTGGATTTCTTCAAGCCGAGAAGGGATACCCAACTTACAATCACCCCCCGCATATCCAATCCTCACCATGGGGATCAAATAATCCATACCTTGATAAAGCACCTCTCACTTCATCGTCACTACCTTTGAACCCCCACTCACCACAACCTCACACTCCAGCTACCCCCTTTCAGTCTACCCCCTTTTCGGGCCCTCATCGTACAGCTCCACATGGTCCCCGAGCTCAACATACGTATTCGCGCTCACCTTCGCCCGATGTCACACTACACGACCCAAGAACGAGGGCAGTCACCGAAACACCACCTCCAGGGACGAACATCGAAATTACAAGAAATGCCCTCGAACGTGTCGCTATCTCGACCCCTCAACCCCATCACTTGAATGCTCCTACTACGACCGGTCGCGACTCGCCGCAATCTACTCGTCGATTACCCGACGCGGTATCATCTCAACCACCCGAGAGGTCGCAATCTTTGGACGACCTTGATAACGAAGAGCACAGAACGCCCATTCGACCTAGCGCCAAAGCGTTAGGGAAGCGGAAAGCCGTCGAGAGGCGTGTCGATCGTAAGTGTCATCTTTTTTGTTCTGATCCCACGCTCATTTTAGAGGCATGTGGTGCCAACTTGCACCCTATCTTGTGATGCCTCCTACCGATCTAAATTTAATTCTTTCTTTCTTTTTAGCTGACACCTTCGATCCTGATGACCTATTCAAAGAGCAACGCTCTAATACGCCCACCTCTGGAGACAGCGATTCTGACGATTCGCTTGACTATCTCAGTCGGTCGAAGGCGAAACCGATCGTGTACGCCTACGATGCCATGGCGGAGAGAGAAAAGGAAAGACAAGCTCAACTTGCCAGGCAAACTCAGGCCAATGGTGTGGCTGTCAATTGAAGTTTGTGTATGGGTCGGAGATGTGTAGAGTATTTTGTACACAAGATGTCTTTCCTTCATGTATGCATCCTTTTTATTCTTTTACGTGGATATAATGTACCGACCGTCTCAGTTGAATTAATGCCAATTCGGAGCTTATCCTGGCTAGACCTTCGATTGGGTAAAGGGACGTGACAGGAAAATGAAAGATACATAGCAGAATCCACGGAAAGAACCATACAACATAGCGTGACATGAACGTTGACATCCGCCCAATATACAATGCTAGGACACAAACGGCGAGTCAGGGAATTCGTTCGTACGGTGGACAATGTACGGAAAGAAATCATGGAGATCATGGGTCAGAATTCCTCCAAATGAATGGCCGAGAATTACGGTGCGTCTTTCTCATACGATCAAGTAGAACCACAGAGGAAGAATAAGAATAAATCCAATAAATATGTCATGTTCTTTGTCCTGCAAGAAAAACCCTCCCCATTATCCAAGCTCTCAGCCGTGCTTCACAAGCGAGCTAGCAATCTCTGCTCGATCCTTTCGATCGTTCAAGGCTTCTGCCACAGCGAATGCTAGCGCCGTAGAAGCAGCGAGTATGCGAGTGTTTAAGCTTAATAACTCCTCAGCAACCACCCAGGGTAGTGAAAGCACGCAGACGAGTCGCGCAATGCTAGATGTCAAGGGGTCAATGTCCCGCCTGTCGGAAAAAGCCACCAGTTTTCCGGTAGCTTGGGGGATGATGAGCGTCGGGAGACTCCACTTAGCCAATAGAATGAACAAAGTTTCCCAATATATGAGAGTCATTGGTGGATGAGGGACGTTAACGGTATAAGGCACCTTCGAAATTGAAGGGGGCAGTTGGAACTGGTAAACAGGTAAATCAGAACACCATCGACATTGAAGCCACAGGAGCGATGTTACCGGGGTGTACTCGACAGGTGTAAACGCCATAACAAGGAAAAATAGCTCCCATAAAACAGTGATACTCGTCAGATTTGCGGAGTCGGATAGGAACTGGGGGGGGATGAGGACGTAATTAAGCGATTCACATAAGAATCCTCGTGGACGCACCATCTTGGTTTTAGCAAGGATCCTACTGGTTTCAATTCCAAGTTGATCCTTGGCGCGAGCCGCATTCGCAACAACTGCATCGATTTCGGGACGCACCTTCGCCGAAAAGTCCTGGATCAATTTGATGGGGGATGGAGGTAAGGGAATGCGCGACGGAGTGCTGAGAGCATGTGCAACAGCTTTGCTCCCTTCTGCTGATTCAGTCGACGAAGATGCTCTAGGGGGAAACTTGCCGGCTCCCCTGCGACTCGCTGGTGCCACAGGGGCCGGGGGATCTGGAGTCTCAGACGATTCTTCACTAGAGGAACGATAAGCTCAGTGCTACCTTGAAAGCGCGTAAGTCCACGTACGTCTGGTTAGGAATCAGGCTTCCTCGACGATTCGAGGACACCCTCCTTGGATACAGAGCTAACATTGTGCAGTTAGACGCGTCTGAACATTGCCATGTTATCATCATTTCGCTGGTACCTTTGAACTTGGGAATCTCGCTGAGGGTCCCTTCATTCTCATCAAGAAACCTTTGTATGCTCCCAATAATCTCGGGTTTCTTTAAACTAGCAGTGTCGGCAGGTATACCTAGAACGCTCCACTGTGTCAACAACTGCTGCTCTGGGCCGCTGGGCCGTGATTACTCACCTAACTTATCCGCCAAGCCGATAAGCTCGCTTTTCTTGAGTGCCTTCCACCCAGAAGTGTAAGGGGTCATATCGGACATTGGAGAAGCCGCTGAGATTGGCCTTCAAATAGGTGGGAGGTGTCGCGTTGTTCGAGATGGTGGTGTGTTGTTGTTGACGGAGGGATGTCAAAACAAAGTATTTGCATCCGGACGCAGCCACCTCCGGATATCTCCGTTCCCCCTTTTTCATCAACTGGATCTACAACCTGCGCTGGCAAAGGCTGGCAATTCAGTCAATTTACCTGTAACTTAAGCGAAGCCACGATGTCAAGCAATGATCTGGATGCGGATCTCTACAAAGGTACTCCTAGCCTATTTCTCAGTGATTGCAGCCATTCTTATCTTCTCCAGACCTCTATGGCGTTGACGAGTCTGACGAGCAAGAGGTAAAAACAAACGACGCCACACCAGCTGACAAGGTACCTTCTGCGGTTGGAGCAGCAGCGCTTGAGCCTGCGAGTGGTACAACTCCTATGCCTTCCATTGGGAACACCCCACCTCCGGCGCTTCCTTCTACCATTAAGCCTCCTTCACAATCCACTGTGTCCACGAACGTAGCTCCAGTTCCTCCCCCAGAAGGGACTTCTTCGATACCTGTATTTACGGATGAAATATCTGGATCGTCCTCTAGAAATCAGTCTTCTCAAGTTGCACAGCAGTTTGCTTCGTATGATCAGCCTGCTGACCAAGATCATGATGGCTATGCGGGAGGCTCTAGCGAAGGTCGCTCAATCAGACCCTCCGAGATGCGAGATGAAGGGTGAGCAGTGTTCTAATGACAATCATCGTGCACCCCCCATGGATACTCCGTGTTATACGTTTTCGGCATCACTCCATCGTCGATAGAGTACACACGTCATAAAGACTACCACTTAGCTCTAGCACCGCTATGTCGACTACTTCGCCGTGTCACCTACGTAGTTGCCATTAGCACATACCCATTGCATTATTGCTACATGGATCTAGCTCGTAGTCCACTTTCGCTCCTCTGCTTCTGGGTTACCAAATACTAATGGATATTTGTCTTTATTATCGCTGCTCGGTCGTTGCACTGTCTCCGGAATTGTCTTCCATACCTTACTGGTCGTTTAAATCAGGAAAATGTTTGTTGGGGGCTTGAATTGGGATACTACTGACGGTTAGCTAGATTCCTTTATTATCTATCCATGCTTCGCGCGGTGTGATGGAGCGCATCAAGTCTTGATCATGACACTGCTTCGTTACTTATTTTGTTCAGAATCACTTCGTGCATACTTTTCCCAATTCGGAAAGATCGATGCATGCACCATTATGCGAGATCCTGCAGGACGCTCTAGAGGCTTTGCGTTTTTGACATTTGAAGATCCCGCGGCTGTAAATGCTGTTATGGTCCGAGAGCATTACCTTGACGGAAAAATTGTAAGTGTGATTATTAGTATTACATTTAGATATTACTTTGCTATATCTTTGTCTTCATTCCTCCTACTCAGATTGATCCTAAACGTGCCATCCCACGTCTCGAGCACCGCCGTACCCAAAAGATCTTTGTTGGTGGATTAGCACCATCTGTCACTACTGAGAGCATGAAACAATTCTTCAATCAATTTGGTAAAGTTGTCGACGCCACCGTGATGGTGGATCGTGACTCCAGTAGGAGTAAAGGTTTCGGTTTCGTCACATTCGAGGATGCTCCCGCCGTTGAAAAGCTTGTGCAAATTCAAAATCTTGAGTTGGAGGGCAAAATGGTGCGTCATCTCACAACCGCTCGACTATTTGGGCCATCACACTGCTTAACGATGCTGGCATCCAGATTGAAATTAAGCTTGCTCAGCCACGAGGTGCGAGTGGAAATAACAGTAACTATGGGGCTCAGCCTCAGCCGCGAAGTAGCCGCCCGACTCCGTTCGATCCTAACGTCATGGCGATGCTTTATCAACGCATGATTGCTAACGGAGGCTGGCAAGGCGGAATGAACCCCATGATGAGTATGGTGGGCGATGGGATGAATCCGATGATGGGTGGCGGAATGAGTGGTCGTGGATATGGTGGCGGTGGCGGTGGCGGAGGTGGAAATTACTATGGTGGGGGAATGATGGGGAGTGGGGGAGGTGGTCGCATGGGAAGTGGAAGTCACGGTTACGGTATGGGGGGATATGGTGGAGGTGGATCCCCAATGAATCAATACGGAGGGAGTATTGGACCTGGTGGTGGCGGACACATCCCCCGCGGGCCTGCCGCAATGAGGGGCGGTCCTGGAGGACATCCACCGCATCATGGAAATGTGGGACCTACTCGCTTTCAAACCAAGGGGCAGCACAGCTACCATCCCTATGGGCGATACTAGCGTCGTTTTAAGATTTTCATACTTTTTTTGTTCATTACTCGTCCCTGTACTTATTATGACAGCCTTATTCAACCCATACGGGATGCATTTGTCTTGGAGCGGAACTTCGTGGCCTGTGCATGCTATACCAGCACGCAATTTTTTTCCGTATTACAGAGACCGCATATGGGAAACATAAAATCTACATGTCAGAGCACACAAAGAGGGAACACCGAGAATCTATTCGAATATTGGAGTGTAGAGTCTGCCCTCGACGTGCCGCACCTTGAGCAACCACAAACAAATGATCAGATGGCATCAGATTAGACGTACTCGCCGACGCGGGGATATTTTCCAACGATACCCAAAACCGATGGACGATTCACAGGGCTACCATGAAAGGTTGCATGGCCAGTGATCACCTAGGTGGCAGGCGACCGGCTTCTCTTTCACGGCGATCACCATCAGGGAGGATTAATACCAACGGACGCAAATGGCAGATCCACGCGTGTACGGATGCTGTGTGCACGGACTTTCCGTCTTTCTTGGGCCCCTGGTATGTCAAATGTTGCACTTTCCTGCGCAAGAATCCTTTACATAATTGAGGATTGCTGGGTTTGAAGGGTTCGAAGGGGGACAAATACGAAGTGGGTCCCGTTTCGCCCTTGCTATCCCATTCCTCTCTCACATGTTGTCCCTTGGATGCTTGTCATGTCAGCTTCCGTTCTTTGCCAAATACGAGCATTTGATCCTTTCCACTTAATTGCGGGTGATGCAAACTGATAACTGCGTGTTTCACATGGCTGGGTTCTGCGATTCGTGGGATAGAGTTTACGATCGAACTTCTGGGGACTGTTTGGGCGATGGGTTTATGTACTCCAACCGTCGTCCCTCCAAGGGGCTTGGGTGGAAGGGGAGGTGAAGGGAGGGATTGGTGGAAGTGAAGGGGCGAGAAAGGCTGGAGTCGAAGAGAACAGGCGAGGGGTGGTCGAGGACGGTGACGGTGACGGGTAGAGCATTGATATGATTAATTTACTGATGTGGGAGGAGTAACTATAATGAATTGCTGGTGATAGTGGTGGCGGAGCCAGAGGAATTATTTTTCTGTAGTGTTGCCAATTTTTCCCATAGAATCAAGTGGGTAGGTCTATATAGTAGGCCATTGCTGTGAAGTGCCGAGCCAATTGGCAAGTTTTCTTTGATGGCTCCTGAGACCGCGTGAAGGCTAGCACGGGAAGGGAAGCCGGAAGTACGCATCAAGAGTGAACGATACAGCTGCCTGTGGAACAAGCCCCTTGGTACCCTCTAAACATTGTGACGACAGCTTCCATCAAGTGCGTGCATTGTTCATCGGTCTCCATTAGCAAGCAATCACCGGGGCATAATAACTTACGCACAACGGATGCATATATATCTCGATATATATGTAGTAGTTACAACTTACTGCCTAGTTAACGAAGATACCTCCTCACATTCACGTCACTGTGTTTACTGCTCCGGATCCATGCCAGACACCATCGTGGTCCTCCACGAATCCCATACTGGTAGGTTAAACACAAATCACAGACACATCATGTTTGTCATTTAACTATCGTCGGACAGTGGAATTCGGTCAGGTAGGCTGGCCTCTGGGCAAAGCCCGTGGTATCAATACGTGCGTCGTAGGTATCAAAGACGACCCTGTATTTGCGCACATGAACATCACCCCCGATTCACGCTTCAATTCTCCCGCCAGGGACATATAGAAAAATCACGTCGACATGGTTTCGCATGCTGGTCATGCACGGGCAGCTGCCAGTGAAGAGTCTCCATGTCGGCGATCTGCATTTCCACGTTGTGTTATCAAGATGCTACCTTTACGATTGAGGGACATCTCATGCTTATTGAACTTCAGGCGCGTCGGGGGCGGCCGATATATTAGGATTTAGAATCAAATCAATTACAGAATCACTTTGGCAGCGGCCTCAGTTCAGCATGTCCATGAACTCTGTGTATCGTTAAAGCGCGGTAGAATGATATTCAGCGAGGTTTCAACTCCGGCTGCGTGCGATGATCAAACTTACAGACGGTATCTGCGGCGTTGTCGTCCACTGGTAAGGTGCCATGTTAAGACATTCCGCAACTGTGACAAGGGAATAGCCCTTCGCTTGTAGAAGCTTGATAGCATATGGGAGGACTTGTTCCCTAGAAGTTCCAATGCGTAACACGGAGGACATGAGTGTGTTCAATGACCTACGTTGTATTCTGATAAGTCTCATGGTTCAGTGCAAGGATGTTCTCCCGGTTCTGATTGACTGTGTCGTTATACTGTTGTTCCGAATAAGAGACAGATTTTCCCAGCGAATCGCCGGTATCGAGATCCCATAAAATCACTATGAAAGGAGCCCCACACGAGAACGGTGATCAAGATATAGACGGGAAAAGGAGCGTAAGAGAGGACAAGACTATTTGGCTACGCACTGCTTTGATTTCTTTGGTGTGACACTTGGCGGACCTGTACGAGAAACTCTATCATTTCGTTCCAAGAGGTGGTCGGCATACGTACCAAGTCGTTGTAACTACCAAAAGGTGGCCTCATGAATGCTGGTGCAAAGCCAACAATTCGCTCTAGAGCTTGCTCCACCCTCCACATCTCATCGTGGACTAATAAGGAATAATATGATCAACAAATTAGTGAGTTCAAACGGGATTCCTCCATTCTCACTTCGATCAAAGGATAGCTGGGAAGTTATTCGTTATTGAATGTTGCGGCACCTTCATTTCAATACAAAAAGATTGCGCAAGATCTCGATGCTTACCTGGGTAAGATCCTAGATAAGAAAATAGTAATTAAAATTAAATATAGGCAAGTCGAACAGAAGATGAAGATACCAAATGCGCCCAAGTATGCGATGCGACTTGATGGCCACGAGCGACGGCATACTTGACGCGTCTGCCGGTGGGGAGAAAAAAGATAGAATGTAGCGCAACATCGATTCAGCACAAATCCACAATGCCGATGAGCCGAACTCACGCTTGGTTCTCAGCGTTGTAAATACACGACCCTTCACCATCCACGATTAAATTTAGCAGAACACACCAACGGCTCACTCACAATTGTTACCATTGTAGAAAAAGGTCCCATTCCCACCTGCTCTAGTCAAGAGATCTGAAACCTCAGTCCTACCACGACACCACGTTCCCATTAAAAGCTCCTTAGCCTCGGTACAAGAGAAGGGCATAAGGTGTTCGGACTTACGACCAGGTATATGGCCCATCGTCAAAAGTCAACGCAACTTGCTTTGGGTTTTGGCATGAAGAGAACAATTGTGCCAAGGGTGCACGAGCGTTAAGTTCACGCTTGACTCGGTCAATAGCCGTCTCGTCACGCTCGACTGCATCAACAGCGCCGATCGTTCCCGACCCACTGGCAACAACTGGAGTGGGTGAAGCAAGGGCTAGGAAAGCACGAGACAACAACACCACAAGCACAAAGCGCACCGCAGACGCGTAAGAGCTTGAGGGCACCATGGTAACCGTTGTACAATAGTGCGAGAAGCAATACCGAGTGAAGAGAGGGCTCATGGGAGGACGGAACCCGGGACTATTATAAAAGAGTCCACCCTAGCCCCTGTTAGGATCCCTTTTCCCTAGCTGCCCTATCTTTACTAATGGGTCCTCGAAGCGGCCTGATATGTCCCGTAGGAAGCCCGCGACGCTCAGACATGAGCGCCGTGGTCAATCAATATAATAAGCAGAAGTTTCATGCGGTCCAATTTGCAGGGACAAATTTCTTCCATTCTGACGTGCATAACCGCGCACGTTCTCCTTCGGCAGAACTTGATCAAGCTGAAAGTTTAAACTCTCAGAAGCGGACATGACATTGATGCCGTCGGGCACCAGGCATTACCTCAGACTAAACCTAAATCCACCCATGGGAAGTGATGCAAGGAGTTCGCTGGAGGTCATGTGCCCAAGAAAAAACATCTGGAAAAAAATATTCATTTCAGTTCAAGCTGGAGGTATATCCAGAGCACGACTTCCGAAATTTTCCAAGTAACAAGAGATACAAGTTTAAGTGTAATGATTATTTACCCCAACCCCAACCCTTTTTAAATAGACACATACTGTATGCACGCGACCAACAACCGGATGGTTTTGGACCGTGACAAAATTTTATGTCGGACATTGAACCGGCAGGCCTGAATTTAGCGTGACAACGGAAGTGGCCGGCCAGAGAATTTGAAAATAATAATTGAACTGAAAATCTTGTGTTCCGTTACACCATTCTCAAAATTTACATGTTTTCTTTTCTGGGTGGCATTCTGGATGGATTTTCTCTTGCTCACTGCATTGATTCTTGTGCTGATGAAGCTATCACATACAAGAATCTTCCTGCCTTTCTCATTGGACCCTACTTCCCTCATGAAACCCTGTCCATCAGGGAATTCATTGTTGGAGGAACAACCTTGAACCCTGTATTTACATCTATTTTGCGTAGAATTTCCTAATTAAGCATCTACCATAATCTTGTCCAACTGCCCTTGATCCAGTTCTCTCTACATTCATCTCCTTCCAGCTTCCTTGTAAGGACCATCAAACATTTTCCCACGTTGGAATACTGTACTCACATGACCAACTACCGGTCACACGTCACAGAGACCTCCCGGTCCGGTCGAAATTCAGGGTCTGTCACGCATCACAGCTGGTTGGTGGTTGGGTGTTTGGGTGTCATGCCAGTTTTGCTGAGGCAAGGTGGCTGTGCAAGGCAATTCAAATTTTCCATTTCTGGAATGTATTTACATTCAAAAATGGAAATTTTTCATTTGGTCTTCCAAGTTTCTTGTGTGCCTTGCTCACTGTCAGGGCAATAGCCCTGAACCCTGAGCCATATGTACAGTTCTCCAATAAACCGTTGCAATGTTTTTCACTTTTCAACTCATGACCTTATAGCACAATGAAAATGTATTTGAAAATTTCAAAAAAATATTCAGAACATGGGAAAGTATCTCATCTAAAGATCTGCCAATTATGTAAGCAATATTCCCATTTTTGGTAATGTTATGTAGTTTACAAACTACCCAGGTCATTGCAACAGTTTATTGGAGTACCCCCAGGCTGAACAGAAAATAGGGATAT